CAAAAAAGTGCTGTAGGAAAACAAGTAATGCAAATACCATTAAGTTCTTGTGGGGAAAAAAATCCTTTTTATCTATTTGACACCAGACCATATATTTTTAAATCTATATGCAGCAGCTTCACCTCCTTGTATCTTTTGGTCCTTTCTTTTTCAGAAAGACAGTAAATAGGAATTAATCCACTTTCCTATCAATTGTGATGAGAACAGACATTTAGTCAGACTGAGCATCTTTGCTTTCTATGAATCTAACCAAAGTTAACTGCAAACCAAGAATTCACATCAAAGTCACACACCAGAAAGCCGAGCCTGTGTTTGTTTTGACAACATGAGATACATATCTTTACATAGTCAACATTATCTATCACAGCAAAAACATCATTTGTTAATGGGCTCAAACTTCCTTTTGACATCAAAAACCTATCTAATTTTCAAGAGTTTCTTTTTTTGTTTTTTTTTTCAAAGACCTGGCAGGTGTTACAGCTAAAGAGAAGAAAATCAGGTCCTTCCACCAGGTATGCCTTCAGGGAAAGGTGATGATCTAAAAGTGGAACTAAAACAAAGTTCACAAACTTTTTCTTACATGTAGGAATAGAATCTACATAATTTCAGTTTTTTTTCCCATCATTCCCCTTCACACAGCTGACAGATTGCCTCTTGGAAAATAGTCAGAAATGAAAACTGAACTGGCTAACTTATTTTGAAATACCAGAATTTGATCAAGGGAAATATAAAATAAAATCAAGAAAAGAATTGGTGGCAGAGGAATATACTGTAAGCTTATTTATTTATTTGCTTATTTACAATTATTAGAAAGATTTAAAGTAGTCAAAAAAATGCAATTGCAATATAGTGATTGACTAAGAATGTAAGCAAAAAAGTTCTTCGCTCAAGTTTCATTAAGAGTCAAGAATTAATTACATACTCATAGTCAAGTTCGAGTCTCTTGGGTTTAGTTTCCTATCTCCACCATGACGTTAATCTATTTTACAAAACTTAAAATTAATCAAGGTAGGTAGATAGATATACAGATAAAGAGGGAGTACTATAAATTCTCCAAAAGTGCACATATAAATATTAAATTATCATATTTATCTATGTGAACCAACACTGAAGATGCTTTGATTTGATAGACAAGTATCACTACCCATTAAAGATGCAAGGAATGAAAATCTGATTTCTAAATATCATGACTAAAAACCAACTTTTCCCTTGAAATGGTATAAGATTTCCTGCTTGAGTAGGGGGTTGGACTAGAATACCTCCAAGGTCCCTTCCAACTCTTTTGTTCTATTACTTTGTATATGTAAAACAAGAACACTAAAAAGCTAACCAAATTCTTAAGGTTCTATACATCCTTTGAAATTTTTGAAGACTTTTGATTTTAATAATCATATAGTATTAAAAAGTCATTAAGTCTTAGTCTTGAGAATTTCTATGAAGCATATTTGCATGATTGATGAGAAAGCAAATTAATTAACTTCTCTACTTACAATATTTAGCTGCAACTGTGGCTTAAAATTGGTTCTGGATTTTTTGTTTAGAGCTACAATACCTTAGCTACTATATCAAACTTCCAAATGGAGCTTTCTAACACCAAAGCTAATTTATTTTGCACTGAATAAACACTTTTTAATCCTGTATTGCATTTTCATTCATCTATCTATATACACACATAGGCTAATCTATAGTCCTTCACCTGAATTAAGCATATTAACTCACTACTTACTCCTTTCTGATACTGAATGAAGGCATGAGGCAGCAACATGTTTGAATTAAAGTTTCAGTTTTATTTACTAAATGAATATACAAAAGGCATACTTAACAACCTAAAATCACACTGGGCTATCTGCTGTCTCCCAACTTTCACTAAAACATGTTATTAAATGGTATTATTTCTGTTGCTGAAGGAGAAAATAATCAAACAAATGATTATTTAAATAAATATAAGTGAAAAGAAAGGGAAACAGAAAGTGTCTTGTTTTTAGAATGTAGCCATCAGTGTGTTACCCAAACACCAAATGTAGCTCATAGCTCAGACACAGTTACATATACAGACATAACATAATGAATAGACATTTTCTAATCCAGACCTTAAGTTTGCAAATTTTAAGTCTTATACCACGTCCATACTGATTAGCTACAGCTCAAAATTTGATTTGGGCTTTTAAACACCCATCCATATTGAAGAGAGTCAATTGGGGTTTGGGCCTCTACTATGTATCTGGATTTGGTTTAACTCAAGAATTGTTCTATTTTCTGAGGAAGACAATATTACAGCAAAGCTAAATGAACAAGACCTGTGCTGATGCCTCTTTGGACATACCACATAGATGTTTTTGAAGGAAATGTCAATGGAAGTCAGGTCAATAACTGGCCAAAAGAACCAGATCTCAGTGGTAAATCAGTCACCTTGTCTTTACAAGTCCCTGCATTCAAAATTTGGCATTTAAAGTTTAAACAAACAGATAGTAAGAAATGAAGGAAAAAGAGTCCTCTGATATTACCTATCTAGTTGATAATAACTATTATTCTGACTGGAAAACTGCAGTCAATTTCAATAGCAGTCAAGAATAAACTAGATGGACAAACAGGTATGTCTAAAGCAATTTCTTATATAGTACTGTATTTTTCTGTGTTCAAACCACTATGCCTCAAAAAGAAGAAGTTGGAGCTAAGGCTGCTAAGAGAATCTCTGAAATAAAGAGCATTATTTAAATAATGATTCATGGACAAAGAAAGCCTTGTATCCCCAGAGTGTGGAACTTTCATTCCAAAAGAGACTTAAGTTGCCTCTCTTACTAAATTTGATTCAGATGAATCTTTAGTATTGTTTTTCTACCAATTTGTATGGCTTTGTATGGCTTTGATTAGGCTGCCCACTGCAGTTCCTCTACAGTTTTTTGATATTTTTATTTTGCTGTTTGAGGACATGTGTGTGTGTGTGTACAGTATGTGTATACACACACAACCACAATCACAGGTATATTCATGGGTATGGCAAAGAGCTTTCAATATTTTATACACAAAAGCAATAAACCATATTAATCAAGCCCTTATGGAAAATGAGATGGTGGGTTTACCTACAATAATAGAAAATTAGGTATAGAAGGTATACCTATTCTATACCTTCTATAGAAGAGATAGAATATAGAAAATTCAAGCTCACTGCCTTCCTTAAAGCTCAGTAGGAGAAACTGGGTAATTTTCAGTCCCTCATTTCTTGGTGCAGCCATCAAGCGACCTCTTGAATTGAGGTTCAACTTGAAGTACCTTGCAGTATCCATGAAACACATAGCATACCAAGAAATCTTTGAACAAAAGCCTATGTAGATACAAGTTCTACAAGCAAATTCTTTTATGTTTCATTTTGTTCTAAAGCACTTTTAAAGGCTAGCCAAAAAGAAAACACAGGAGTGCTGGCCTTGGACAAATATTGGAAACTCATTTGCATCAGCCATACCAATACTACAAGAGTAATCAGCACTTATTTGAAAGATAAGATAGCCTCTAGGAAAATTGCAGAATTATCTTCTGGCAGGCTACCCCATACAGAGAACTCATAACTCCTCAATTACCACATGAGTTCAACAGCTCAGTGACTGAACTGTTAAAGAGAAAAGCAATATTAGTTACACCAGTATTGCTAAGTATACTTTGTGCAATGGATCCATAAACATGTTCTAATACAAGCCCAGCTATTCTCATGTCGCCTAAGAAATAGATGAAACAGATAGGAAGTCAAATTTTAAAGTTGATGCATTTTGGGGGGGAGGGGAAATACCCATTGTCTTAAATAATCAGCAAGTCAAAACTAATCTCATCTACTGGTACTGTCTGGTCAATTCTAAGATGCTAATTCAGTAAAGAATTCTCTCAGTGAGATGGCAAGATATACAGATAATAGATCTTTGATTGCTTAAATGTAACTATGTTATAGGAGGAGAGCTGCAAATTTTAAGGGAAGAGGTAGTATATATCAAAAGACACCATAAACTTTTTTCCAACCAGACCACTGTCACAATACTTTCCTCTGCTCTTGTCCCAACTGTAAAAGATAAAGGACCTGTGAATATTTTTGTTGGAAAAAGAGCTGAGGACAGCTATTTGGTTGTAAAAATCTTCTTCTAGAATATTTCCCTTTAACCTACCAGGACCCTAGCTGTCACCTCATCTTTTTTTTTCAACACAATGGATACAGACTGTAGGGACTGTAATAGTACTAAACTAATTTCCAACACTGTTCTTGATATTTCATGTAATTAATTTAAAAGAATATAAATATGAACAATCATTTAAATAATGAAAATTCTAAAATGTTCACAAAGCATTGCCATTTAAAACACCTATAAATTACAGAAATGTATAAACTCATATGAATATTTGTATGATGGGGCAAAGTTCCAAAAACATTTCCATTTTAAAAAAAAAAAACTATGAAATTTCATTGTTTCGGTGTTTGTTCCTGTATATGTGCTATAAACTTTACTGATTCTATTTTTAATGACAAACAGTTGCTTTACTGAAGAAGAATAAACAAACAAATTCATATATTGCAATTTCCTTTTTCCACTGTGCTGTACTGTTGACATAGGTATCAAATTCCATGACTGGTAACATTCAAATATTGTCTTTCTTGCTTCTGCTTTGTATCACACCTAGCCTATAGGAATTTTTTTTTTCATGTCCCCTGTTCCTCTACCATTTACCACACATCAAACATAATGCCTCAAGTCTGCAGATTGGAAGGAGACAAAGAGGAGGAAATGCAGAATCAATGAATCTCTGATGACTAATAATCACCCTATAGAACACCTGTTCCATGCCAATATATCTTTGGAAAAAAAGCCCCAAGCCATCACTATTTCAAAATATAGGCTACCTTCCAAGGGAGGGACAGTGAGAGTACAGGTCTCAACTTACTCCACACAAGCAGCTTACTAACAGCTTTTGTATTACCAGTCAGTGAAAAGAAATCCATCTGTTTTAAAGGGAATTCATACCTTTTGGATCCTCCAACGTAGGTGAAGGTAAAAGTGGAATCTGCGTATCTGAAATCTGAAATACAAAAGAAATGTATTGCTATGGATCAATCTTGCTTGTTTGCCACATCTGTCTTGCCTAGTCTGTTGACCTCCCAGCACTCACAGCTCTCTCCCCAGTACTGCACACACATATAGCATCAGAGATTAATTCAAGCCGGGAAATAAAAATAGCAACCATCATCATCATAATATAGGAGGAGGACCACCCCAGCCTACCCCTCCCTTCAACAAGTGCTCCAGTGCTATGGCAACAACAAAGATTTCCATTATCAGTGGAGGCAACAGGCAGTAACAAGGCAAACTGCTCAAGGCAAATCAAACATTATCATAAATTATCTGAAGACAGTAACAATCTGAAATATTGAAGATTTGAAATAAGAGGAGGGAGAGGGAGGGAGATAAAAGGCAATAAAGATAGTGATATGGTATACAAATGTCCCTAAGTCCAACCTAAAAGATATACTTTTGACCACCACCTTCCCAAGCATGAAAAATATGATGGACGGACCCCAGTTTATTGTGCAGGCACTGGTTTAAAAACATGGAGGGAAACTGGGTGCATGAAAACGAAGGCTGAGATGGATGCTGGCTTATTTTTTTACAGGTAAACCAAAATCCAATCTAATTAGGAAATCAATGAGCAAGCATCCAACCATTCCCCAATTAAATGCCACAATAGCTACTTTATCTATAATGAGTGAGGAGGGGGGGTCCTCACATGCTTTGAGGAGACCCAAGAAGAAACCGCCAAAGGATTCTCTCCAAATGAGTTCAGTCACCCTCCTCCCATCAACATGTTTGGAGCCAACTCCAGCCACTGCCCTCCGTCGAGAAAAACCGTCCGAAAGCAACTGAGTCGGGATGGGAAGAAAAAGACCAAGCTGAGAAACTCACCTGCAAACAGGCAGTCCTTCTCCGCCTTGCACTTTTGGATCACTATGTCAATATCCTTCTGAATCCTATCTTGCCTTGAACACATCCCCATGAACTGAATCCCTGGGGGGAAGTAAAAGAAAAAGAAAAGAAAACCGCCTTGGGATTCCTCCGCTGTCTCCCTCTAGCTCGTTTCCTTGTTTCCTTTTCGGTGAAAAAGCGGTTCAAAAATGGAACCCTTCCAGGAAGACTGAGGGCTTAACGAGAAAAGAGGAAAAGCTTTCCTTCCTGGGTGCGCGCGGAATCCGGAAAAAATCGGCGTTGCATGCCCAGATGTGCTTGCCCAGATGTGGATGCCAGTTTCCCTTGGGGCTTGGCAGTAGATCCGAGAAGGGTTTCGGGGTGCTTTCGGCGCCGGCAGTGGCTTGGCTGGCGAGCGGGCTGGCTGGCTGGCTTGGGAAGGGGAGCACCCCGGAGATCGAGATGGAGCCCAGCGACTCTTGGCTCTCCTGCTCCCCCTCCACCACCGCTGGGCTGCTGGAGTGACAGGGGGAGAAAGGAGATCAGGAGGCGGCGGCGGCGGCGTATCACAACAGCCCCAGCGGCAGCTCCAGGCAGAGAGAGAAAGCGAGCGAGCGAGCAAGTCACTCCGCCGCGCGCGCTCACGCACACAAACACACACACACACACACGCGCGCATATAGGGGCAGCTCCCCGAGAGGCCGACACTTCTGCAGCGACGCCAAGCCGCAAACCCCTCCCCTAGCCGCCGCCGCTCCCAGCCCAGACACTCCGCCTGCTACGCGTACTGTTGCTTTCTGCTCAGGGCACAGGAGCTGAGCTGAAGGCGGACGCTGGGGCGCGCTTCCCTCTCCTTCGCGGAGCCTTTGGCTTCTCCGTCCACGGCTTCTACCGAAGGGAACGGCTGATGGCTGCGTGGCCTCTGGCGCGAAGGGCGGGGGAATTATCGAGTTCCCCTCCAAAGACGCGCCGGGTCTGGCGCTGCTCGCGCCCCTTTCGGGCTGAGAGGTTAGGCCTGCGTGGGGACTGGAGGCGCGAGCTGCTGCAGGGAAAGCGCCGCACATGCACAGCCCCGCGCGCCCTCTGCCTCGCGCCGGCTACCCACGTTGTGGACGGGCGCTTCACGGCAACGCTGGCCCTCTCCCTGCTTCTGCGTGTATACTTGGCACGCCGGCCGTCGATGGATGTCGCTGGTAGCGACCGAGTCGTAGAGGTTAGGTTCATGTGATTGTTTAGTTAAATAAATTCTAGGCCAGAGAGGGGGGGAAGGCGGGCAGTTTAGCTCCGCGGGGAAAACACTCGATTACCTTGGTCCCAGCCTGTCCAACCTCTGCAGGGTTGTCGTAAAGCTAAAATCCTCCTTCGCAAGATTGATGAGCAAAAGAAATCCCCAACCGGGTATCTTTAATAAAATGGAGAGTATTTCGGTATAATACATAAAGATACAAATGAATCGGTACGATAACGTTTACATCTTAATAACTCCACGTGGAAAACTAATAATGTAGGGGAAAGGAATTTAGGGGAATGCTGCAGACAGATTTGCAAAACACCACAAGGTAAGCAAAATCTTAGAATTAAAATAACAATGGAAGACCTCAACCAAGTAAAGCCAATGAGTGAATGTCCTCTGCTGTGAATGCCCAGGATTTTAGATAGAAGGGCTGCCACATTGCCTTTGGTGTATTTACTTTATTCCCCTTATAACCTGCCTTTCTTTCAGCACTTCAAGGTAACACATCTTGAATTCCTCTGATTTTTCCCTGTGGCTGTGAAAGTTGGACTGAGAGTGAGTGACTGATCCGAAGTCATGGATTTGAACCTGGGTCTTCCCAGCCCTAGTTCAAGATCTTAAAATGCACCCACCCATCATGTTTGCATGTAAAAATCATCACTCCGAGTCACTAATTGGTCTGCTAATTCTACAAACAGCTAAGCCAACCCAGGTGGCAAATGTGTTATGTTTCCATATGTTGCCGGGTTAATGTAGCAAACCTATGGTTGGCAGCTGAAGTTACATCTGTTTCAGACTTCCACTATGAATGCACAAATGAAGCAGTTTTGGTTTCCTCAGTTTCTCATTTTTCTAGTTTAACTTGTCTTCTGATGTTTGCATCAGTTTACAATTTGAAACAATTCACACAAAACGTTTATACATCTTAGTACACATCTCTTCTATTTGCATTTCCTTTTTCCCCAATGTATTTTTCATACAGGGTTATGCTATGTTCATTTCTTGATTTCTAGTCAGCCAACTATGAACCTGCAGGTGTGAGTCTGCCTCTAGGTCCAACTAGGGGGGTTGCTAAATTTAACTATTTAAATGCTAAATTTAACTATTTAAATCAAAATAGAGTTGGAAAGGACCTTGGAGGTCTTCTAATCCAACATCCTATTCAAGCAGGAGACCCTATACCAGGGGTAGGCAATCTTGGCTCTTTTATTACTCGTGGACTTCAACTCCCAGAATTCAACTCCCAGAATTCCTGAGCCAGCCAGGAATACCATTTCAGACAGGCTGTCCAGTCTTTTCTTAAAAACCTCCAGTGATGAAGCACCTACAACTTCTGAAGGCAAGTTCTTTCATTAGTTAATTGTCCTCATTGTTAGGAAGTTTATAGGAAAAGGTAGGACCATAAAAAAAACTTTTTAATCAGAATGGGTTTTCATCAGAAAATTTTATGCATGTATGTGAAGAGAGAAAAGGATGTTAAGTTATGACTAAGAAAAGTAGGCTTCAAATTCCTGCTCGGCCATGAAGCTCCTTGGGTTAGGCCAGTTGTTGTTTTACAACTTTGCCTATTATGTAATTTGCATTGTGTATATTAAGTACATTGCTCTGGGCTGAAAAAGGAAAGATAAGTTGTGCACTGCTGTTGTTGCAATTACCAACATGCATACAGTGCAGGAAAAGCTAAGAAATACCAAGTGGGAAGAGGTTATCAATCAATTTAGGATGGGGAATTAATTGTGTGTTACCACCCTAGACTAAACTGCAGATGCTGTGGAAGTTCTTGTCAAATGTCTGGAGGCTGTGAGAGTCTGGATGTGTGATGGAATGTGTCTACTAAGAGGGAGATGATATGATGGATTGCAGTAACTCAGCAGGTTTCTAGGAAGGAGGGAGCATATCTTGAGAGGGGCAAAACAAAAGACAGCAGGATCTGGAGCTGAATCATGAGAAGAGGAAGGGATTTAGGATCATCACTCTCTAGAATAGCAATTCTCAACCTGTGGGTCGCGACCCCATTTGGGGTCGAACAACCATTTCACCGGAGTCACCAAACAACGCAGTCCGCCATTTTTTCCCCCTTTTCCTTAGCTGTGCTGCTCCCTTTTATTCTGTTGGCTTTTGAAAGCCAATAGAATAGACTCTCTTGAATAGAGTCTAATTCTATTGGCTTTCAAAAGCCAATAGGAATTGTCCAGGCTGTGTCTGCCCTGCTGAGCCCGCCAAAAGTCCCACTCTGTAAATGGTGCTGCAAGTTGTCTGCAGCAAAGGCGAGCTGTCTGGAAGTTTCTACCCCTCCCTGCTGAGCAACTACTAAAAATGTAAGTAAAAGAGGGCCAGAGGTGGGAGGCCGGCGGGCGCAGGGAGGGTTGCTGGCGCGTGTGGGGCCTGGCAGGTGCCTTACCTCTCTTGGGCTGGGCCAGCTGGTGGCCCAGCCGGTGGTCGCCCTGCGCCGTCGCTGCCCCTTGCCAGCTACGCCTCAGCCGGCGCAGGGGGCAGCACCACGCATACCCTCCCGGGCAGGGAAAGTCCTCAACTTATGATTGGTTGGGTAGTCCTTGACTTACAACCGGTTGGATAGTCCTCGACGTACGACCGGTTGAGTAGTCCTTGACTTACGACCGGTTGGGGGTCGCAGCATTAAAAAGGTTGAAAACCACTGCTCTACAATTTCCCAGAGTATATCTGTTAGTTGAGGGTAGTACGGTTTTAACTTGGCAAGATTCTGTCTGTTGTGTAAGCAAATAAAGAACTAAACTTTGGCAGGAACTTTGTTTGTATCATCCTAGTACTAAGCCTGACAACAGGGGTTGAAACAAGCCCTGACCAAATTCCAGCAAGAGTTATTGTTTGCCCTTCTGGCTTCAAAATTATACCAGTGTTGGTTTTGAAGGGGTCACTGTCCCTCAGAAAGAACAAGCCTGCAACTTGAGGGTCCTCCTGAACTTGAGGGTCTTCTTGAACTTGCTGTTTCTGGTAGAACAGACATGTCAAACAAAGGCCCGGGGGCTGGATGCAGGCCGTGAAGTGGTTTCATGCGGCCTGAGAAGCCATCCTGGAAACAGTGAGGGAACGGGCCCCACTGCCTTGGCCCTGGACCAGGCCGACTGGGAGCCAATGTACGATTTTGTGATGGCCATCTATGCTGAAACACATTTGGTCTTAGCTCCACAAGACCATCTGGAAACAGCGAGGAACCAGCCCCTGCTGCATTGGCCCCACCCCGTGGGTGCATGCTGGGGAGGTGTCACCCTTTGTGAGGAATGAAGAAATGCACCATCGCCTGGAAGTGGGCAGCAAATGGCCCTCGCCTACTTAACATATCCGGCTTGATGGGCTCCAGGGGAGGAGTTTCAGCAGGCAGCGGGTGGCACAAATCCAAAAAGTAGCACAACACTGCCCAGTCCTCAGCCTTCCCGGTTTCGGCAGGCAGCGAGGCACTCTTCTCACAGTGCCAAGAGCTGAGCTGGGTGGCACGAAACTGATGAGAAGTGCAATGCTGCCTAGCCCCCAGCCTGCCCAGTTTCAGCAGGCAACAAGGTGCAAAGCTGGCGAGCTTCATACCACCCGGCTCCACCTCTCGGCGCTGTTAAGGAGAGTGCCCCTCTGCCTGCCGTAACCCTTCCCCCGGAGCCCATCAAGCCGGATATGTGAAGTAGGAGAGGGCCATTTGCTGGCCACTTCCAGGCAATGGTGCATTTCTTCATTCCTCATGAAGGGTAATACCTCCCCAGCTGCGTTTCTTGCCTGTTTTTCTCCCTCCCTCATCTCAAATATTTTACCACCTCTCTGTACTTAGGAAGGAAGAAAGGAAAGGAGAGAGAGGGTCTCAGGGAGGTCCTGCCTTAATCCTGCCCTGCTGCCCTTTTACCATCCCCTTGCCCCCTCCTCCTGGCCTATCTGGGTGTCCCATCCTATTGCTAAGGAATAGAGAGGGAATGGGCTTCCCTCTGACTTTGCCCTTGTACCCATCATGAGCAACCTGGGTAAGGAGAGCAAGCAGAGCAGCAGCAGCAGCAGCCTTGAGGAGCAGGTAAGTGCAGCTGGGCACCCCCTTGGGGAAGTGGGGCTGGGCTTGGTTCCGCAGGTGCTTGAGGGCTAGGCTGGGCATTTGACCTCTGCTGTCCAGGGCTTCTGGCAACCCGCACCACCATCGAGCCCGCCCCGCATGGCCTGAGAGGAACAGTGAGGCTCCTCAAGTGGACCATGCCTTGACACTTGCCCTGGTCCCACCCCCTTCTGTCAGAGACCCTCAGATCTGTCCCACTCTTGCCCAGGCCCCCACAGAGGCACCCTTGATGCGAACGATGTAGAGCTGCCCATGCCCACCCAATAGGCCACACCCACTCCATCCATGCCCACCCAGTAGACTGCACCCAC